ATTGGCTGAAGATGGTGACATTGACATGAGATCTGACAGGGGATTAAAGTGGAAAATATTGATGACAATCTGTTAGGAATGAGGATCCCTTTGAAAAAAAGAATCAGGTGTAAGCCACAAAAAATTGCTTTGTTTCTGTTTTGTTGGGTTTTGTTGCTGTTGTTGTTAGACTGTTGTCATCCCTGCTGTGATTCGTGAATACGAGACTTCATGTGCAGGTTGGGAGGAAAGCAAGTGCTATTCCAAGATAGAGGCTTCAGCTGGAATGCTGCTCCTCATACCATCTTTTAAAAGACAACTAGTAGTTGTGTAGGATCTGAAATCTGATCCAATATATTTCAATCTGCACCGTTTTCGTCCAATTTGATCACTGTTGCCACTGATGGTCGTTTGCTGGCCTGATTAAGGTGGGTCAGTGGCCTCTGCACTGTTGCTTGTACACAAGTGCTCATGTTTCTGTAGCTCCTGGAAAAAAGATTGTGACTGCTGACAGTCTGTGTTAAAGTGCCAGCAGTAAATGAGTTAATGAGTCTTAAATAACCTTTTATACCTGCAAAGGTCTGTGGCACGTAGGAGTAGAAAATGTGGGCAATCACTGTATTTGTTTTTGTAGTGATGATGGAGAGGGGACAAAGTGAAAACAAGAGGAGGTGGGAAATAAAATGAGAGTTCAAACATTTCCTTTAAAAATATTTTTGCCCTTGTTTTTTAAGGTTTAGTCTTCAGTCTTAACCAGTGAGGTTACAGGATTCCACATATTTCACAGCCTTTTTAAAAATTTTTTTTAGTGCTAAAGTATTTTGGTATGAGAGCTGGCATGGATTATTTTCCTGCTATGCTAATACGAAGCAGCAAACTGGGTTTCCAAGTGCATACATGTATTGCTGTGGGAAGTGTGATGTGGGAAACCAGTGAGAAGGAGCAGATAGTACCCCCTGTCTAATGGTGTACGTCCTGAAGACTAGAACTGACAATTGAGTGGTACTGTGTTCAAACTAAAGCTTTAGGATTTATTTTAGCTGCCTTCTTTGGGTCTGGTGGTGGGTTTCGGGTTTGGTGGATTTTGGCTTTTGTGGTTTTGGTTGGTTTTTGTTTGGTTGGTTTTTGTTTGGTTGGTTTTTGTTTGGTTGGTTTTTTTACAATAGCTTTTATGTTCTGAAGATTTTCTTTGAAGCCACCACAGAGAGTTGAAGCTTTTGTTTTCATTGTGAAACCTGAGATTTTCGTAGATTTGTTTGATGGTAGGAACTGGAATTTTTAAGTAATGTCAAATAAAGGGGAAGCTTATGCTTTAAGCCATTAGAGTTTGACAACATTGAGGGCTGTATGTACTGATAAGATAATTCTATAGTCCATTTCCAGTGGTTTCTGGGAATCTGATGAGTTAGTTAGCAATAATGAGTCAAAGCTATCTTTATGCATAGGGATGTGGTATATATTACATAGCGGAAATCATGACTGACATCTCTGCTTCCAACTCATGGGCTCGTACCTGTGAGCCATTCATGTGAGTGAAGAATCACTATGGGATGAGAAGGATCCTGATGTTTAGGTACTACGAGTGTCAACTGGTTTTCAGTTACAGGAGCCACTCATGCTCAAATGATTTTACCTGTATGCTTAGCAGCTTTATTTGGAGAAAAAAAACCTTGAGTTTTGCTCTGGCAGGGTTGTCCTGCCTACTTCTGCTCTTGGTTAAGATTATGCTGTTTGGCCTTAAAGCCTGCTCATCTTCTCTTCTGAGAGAGGACATGTTGATACTTACTGGGAGCATGAGGATCTCGAAATTCATGCTTCAGTATGTGATACCTTTGAGACCATCAAAACATTTCCTGATACATAAGACAGAAAAGGCTTACTGTCCTGTGTTGGGCTCTTAGGGTTTGTCAGATGTGTCTCTGTTTAATTTCTGTTGGTGGTCAGCTATCAGATGTTCACTGAGGAGGGCTTTCTAATGTCTTTGCTTATTTTTCTGTTCTGTGTGTTTTTGACAGCTGCTCTTCTGCGTATAGTTTTTAAACTCTTTCTTAAATTAGATGTGTTCCTTCCCACAGACTTTGCTTGGAATCTGTGTGGTATGTGTTGTATGAATGTATATGACCATACACACCTTCTTCCATCCCCTTCTCTTCAAGCTCTAGCAGTAGCTGCTGAAGCTTGGTAGTACCCTCAGCTTCTCAAGTGAAAATCCTGTTAATAAAGAAAGCAATTTAAGGAAAAAAACCCAGCATTTCCATCCCACAGTGTATGCTGATCAGCTGGAGCTTCTAAATTCTGTACAAACAGATTATATTTCCATTGAAGTGGTTCTACAAATGGCTTCGTGGGCACCTGTATTTTCTGTTGCATTGCAGTGTGCGATACTCAAGTTGCTTTAAGGAATTAGAGGCTGAAATTTTGCTGCAAGCTCCTGTAGACTGCTTCTAAGATCCCAACACCCCTGTGAAATTTTGCTTGCTTGCAAATAAAGAAGGTAGTTTTTGCCTAACAACAAGCTTTGTGGTTTCTACCTGAGGATCAAAGCCACAAGTGCATTTTTGTTCAGCCTTTTGCGTCACTTGGGTACTGGAGGTTTTGACAGTCAAATCATCGCTGACATTTCTGTCGATGTGCAAGAAAGAGAATAATCCAGTATGTTTTTCCATAGCAGTGCTGTCGCTGCAGGACTGACAATAGTAAAAAGTGCATTCATCACTGAATAACCAGATACCCAGGAAACGCCAGAGAAAGAGACGTATTTTCAATCAAAATGTCTCACTCTTAATGGCTATTTTCTGACTGATTCCTTTTTGCTATTTATACTCTCCCTGAAGTATTTTATAGAAACCTGAGTCCCTTTGAAAACCCACCCAAACAACCAGATATGTATTTTACGTATTGTAATATGTAAATGATTAGTCATCACTTGTAAATTGCCTAATGGAGGAGGAGGAGGAAATTTATATGAGGGAAGGTGAAGAGCTTGATTGACTGCTATATGTCTCTGTTCTTCCTGCCTTTTCTTTTTCCCCCCAGAAGATAATTATGAAGGATTTTTTTTTAAAAATAATCCTAAGAAATATTGTCATTGCAGGTTTGAAAATGGTAGGTGCACACCATAAGCTTGTTTTCCACTTCCTTATGTTTTCTTGGGGGAAATTTATGGGCTTTTTTTGTTGTTTTAATTTAAGATTCTGTGGTGGTCTTATACATTGCAAATGAAAAATTATGCTGGCATCAGAGATCTTAAGTGTAACAACATGGGGAACTCAGTTTATGAAGAAATATGTCTTTGTTAAAGCATGGTAAGATTATGTTGAGTATTTGTGGCACAAGACCAGAAATGCTGTTTATTGGAGTCTTGGCAGATCTCTTCACTTGCTGGATATGCTATCCTTTGGTTGGTTGGTTTGTTTGTTGTCTGGTTTTTGTTTTCTTCTCTTTGTCTTATAAATAGTTAATTCACAACACATGGTAACACTGAAGAATCTTGAAATATTTTTTTTGTGTCCTGATTTTGGTACAGGTATCTATTTCTTAGTTAGTTTTGGAGGTTTTTGGTTGCAACAGTCTGTTCCCTGGCTGTTTTCCAGCTGAAACTGTAATGCACTGTATTTCCTTGGGGTTTTTTGTTTCTGGTTGGTTTTGGTTGACTTTTTTTTTTTTTCCCTCTCTGTTTCGGAAGTGTGAGGGAAAGGGTTAATGGAAGATGGTTATGAGGAAAGATTTTTTTCAGTCAGTGGTTTATTCACTTTTTTTCCTCTCTTGAGTATTGGCTCCATGAAATGCATTTGCATGTGCTTGAGTACTTAGGCATAATTTTCTGTATTGTTCCTTCACTCTCATTGTGATCCTGTAAGTATGATTTTCATGCTGAAAATGTCCTGTGAGAAATACCAGAAAGCTAGTGGGAAGACTTGCTTTGTATTATTCTGTACAGACATACTTTGTATTACTCGGTACAAATTATTAAGTGGTTTGAGGAAAAGAAATATTTTTATGTATATAAATTTCCAGGGTGACAGGGGTAGTTTATAAAACTGCCTGCTGGTCTCCTCTGTGCACCTGAGCTCGTGGAGAGAGCAGGATTTGTTTTTTGTGAAAGGCTCAATTCCATTTCTGGCACATGAAATTTAAGGGGTTTTTTTAATGTAGTGAGTTCCAGTGTGCTGCCACATGCTGTACAGCAATTGTAACCATACACAATTTAAAATGTGCCTCAGAAACAAGAAGCCTAATATTAGTGTGAGATGATTTTCAGGTTGGTTGGTTCCTCTCTCCAAGTAGAATGATACATTTCCTCCTATTTGCTCTTTTTGTGTATTTGCACTAATTGCTTCCACCGTGATTCACATGCAAGCCTTGAGAAGAGGTGCCTGTTGTATCAAGACAGTTCGGCACGTGGCCATGACTCGTAAATCAGTCCACCTCATCCCAAAATGCTCCTTTTCTGTCAGATCAGTTATTCAACTGGCAAACACGATCCTGACGAGCAGCATAAATTGCATTGCTGAGGCAACTCTTTCTTCAGGTGTATTTTCCAAATGATAGCTTGGATATCTCCTTTTTCCTCCTCACGCAGTGCCTCAAAAGAAAATTTTTCCAGGGAATAGGATTTCTTCCTTCTCCTCCTCCCATTCTTGATCATTTCCACTTTTATTCGGCTTATTAAATGAACATCTTGATTCACTTCCCTGGCAAAGCAGATCACTTTCTAAAAGCACCTACCTAGCTGCTTTTTCAGTAGTGTTTGACTATTGAAATCTCAATTGGAGCAGAAACCGTAGTTAAAAGGCAGGAAAGTCATTTTTTTTTTTTCTCACTCTCATTGATTTCTGTTGAAGCGAACAGATGAGCTTATGTATAAATATGTATATATGCTTTTTTTAATGAAAAGTGCTGGAATTCACTAAAAAAGGTTAACATTGAAGTGAGTAATCTTCAGTGCATAATGCAATTGTTAATTTTAGCTCCTTGCGTAGGAGCTGTTATGACTTGAACAGCCGGCTCTAGCCTTCATTAGAGAAGAAGCAGGCAGTTTTGAGACAGGTGGAGCTGGATCAAGCTGTGAAAGTGATTTGCTTGAAACTGGTCATTAGTGTTAGAAACCTGGTCCTATCTATTGCGTCCTTACCTTGTACCATGATTGTTACTGTTGTTATTATTTACTTTGCATCTTTTTCCAGGTTGACTATGATCCGTCAAACTCTCTGAAGGACCAGCATGGAGACTGGCACTCTGCACTGTTAATGGGGACATGGGACTCACGTTGTCATTGATCATTTGTGTGGACTTAACCAGCGAAGAGCAACAGAAGACGCTAAAAAGACAGTGGGAATTATAGCAGTTTTCCAGGTAAACGGCTTCTTTGGTGCAGCTGATAAACTATGAGTGTAAACGTTTTTGTGAAGCGTGGGTAAGCATGTAGATGAGCTGCAGGGTGATATGCCCATGAAGAACTTGTGCATGTGGGTGCATTTCTTGGTGAAAACCCTTAACAAATTAAGGGTTAGTTATCGGACCAGTTTCAGGTCTTGCCATTCATTGGGTTTGGAATTTTTAGCAAAGCAGTTCAAGTTTTGGTTGTAGCGGCAGAATAGCCAATACCATGGGACCTCCTGGGGAGGGTGGTGGGAGAAAGGAGAAAACTCAAAGCTTGACTTGGCTAACTGTGAGCTAATTTATGAGCTTCATATTCCAGCTGGTTTATGTATGAATTGTGTAGCTTCATTTCTTGTGAAATACACAATCCTTCTCAAACAAGAAGATTATGTCAGAAAGGCTTTGTTATTTTGTTTACTTGCAGTGTCAAAGCAAAAGCAAAAATTGGAAGAAGTTAAGTTTTTAAGACTCAGTATGTCTTTATTTTTTCACTTAAAACATAGCTAAAAAAATGAAGGTAATTGAGATCTGTTGAACGTTAATTACAAGCTGTAAAAAGAAACATGGCAAAGTGTGGTTTTGCTTAATAGCCACTGTTTCATTGTTGAGAAATGGCAAGGTATTGAAAAACACCCTTTCTGAAATAACTCCCTTTCTCAACCGCAGTGTTTTTCCTGAAGATACTTCTTAAGCCAAATGGATGGGGAAAGAAAAGTTAAATTATTCATGAGTCTCATTTGACAATTGATCAGTGGGGGAGGCTTCAAGAGGGAGCTGAGAGGAGTGAGAGAGAAAGAGAGAAAATAATAATAGGCTTTAACTTTGAAAAGCCTTTAAAGCTTCTGTACAACAACCCATTGTGAGCTGAGAGTAAATGCAGTTCAGTTAAGATATCTTCATCAGAAATACCTGCCAAGGGTTTCCTGTAGGATTTTCATGGTGCTGGAGAGTGACATGGCGTCTGGCAAGAGGCTTAGGATTTTAATAATGGAGCTGTCAGTTTGATACCCGAAAACGCTGACCCCAAGATCTTTATTGCCAAATTTAGATTTCATATTTATATTGAATTATTGCCTCTTCAAATATGTTTATGGGGTTTTTTTTTAAACTGGTAATGAGCACCATGGGCTGCTTCTATGTACAAAAACCGTGGCTGGGCACTAAAAACAGCATTGCTGCTCATGCTTTGTTTTTATTTGGTTTTGTTTGGCTATTCTCTTTTATTGAAAAAAAAAAAAAAAAAAAGAAAAAAAGAAAAGAAAATAAGAGGAAAAAAAATCTAGAGAAGAGCACTGAGCTGCCAGAGACCTGGAAGTCTGAATGGGTCCTTCCTGCCTGATGCCACTGAGCTCTGTAGCAGAGTCCCTCACCATCCCTGCCTGCACCTCTGCGTTCCCAAGGCTGGGTTGGGAGAGACAGGGCTGGGGAGTCATAGCCCCTCACCTCAAATCTGCTCTCCATCAAGACTGGTTAGAGAGGAGCTCTGCTTGTTTAACCTAATACAATTCTGCTGTTATCCAGTATTGTCAGTTCTGTACATCTCTTCAGCTGGGTCATACGTATCTCTTAGCTCCTGAGCTGCATAGTTTGGTTTGTTCATCAAAGCAAGTGAAATTACTTGGGAATTAAAAAAAAAAATTAATTCACCCTCAGTGTCTTTTTTTTGTGTGTGTGTTTGTGTTGTGATATCTTGACCTTTCAGGTCACCAAATCTTGTTATTTTAATTTCTGTCTGGAAGAATGTCTGAGCAAGGCAAATTGAACCAGGAGACAGCAGAGGAAACTGCAAAAGAGCAGGAGTCTGCCATCTCCGAAGTGAACCCGGACAACTGTATCCTTAATAAATCTGAAAGCTCAGAACTAGAGGAGAAAGAAGAAAAGCTGAGTGATGCCAAGACAGAGCTACAGGTAAGACAGGAATAGTAAATGGGCGCATTAAATATCAATGTGTTACCATTGCCTTTCCATTTCTATGATCTCTTTCATTGCCTACACTTCCCTATTTTTTCTCTCATAATTTTAAGACTGTTTATTTATTTTCTTTTTCTTGTCTTTTCTTTTTTTTTTTTTTTTTTAAATTTTGGGTCCTTTTATCTCCCTGTAAAATAAATGCTGTCATTTGTTATACCTTTCAAGCTCTTGAGGCTTCTGTCCATGTTATTAATTTTTCTGAGAAGTTAATTCATAGACATCTATGTTAAATCTTGGTGAAATATTTGACTGTTTTCCCTCTTTGGGCATTTAGAAAACTACCTTGATCTCATGAATTTGCAGGTAATACTAATGAATAATTACTTAATGTGTGGTTTGGTTTGTAGGTGTTACTGCCAACAAAAAGTTGTAATGCAAAGCCTAAGAAGGTAATTTGATAAGAAGACTTTATCGGATGAGGGGGTTTTAATCCTTTTTGCTCAATCGAATATAGAAATAAAGGGGGAGGCTGCAATTTAAGAGGAATTTGGAGAGGGGGAGCATTTACTTAAGTATGCCTTTTCTTACGTTTTTATTATATGCAAAATTATGGAACACTATTCAGTGTGGGGTTTTTGTTGTTTATATCTGTTCTTAAAATGAATAAAGTGAGCAGAGATGATTCTTGGTTTTTTTCCTGCATTTCCACACTGGGTTTGGGGAAGTTGTTTTTGCAGTCAGCACCTGATAAAAATACCATTTTAGGAGTGATATTTTATTTATTGGTAATGCTTTTGTCGTGCACGTTTTCCCCTGAAGTGACAACTGCTTTTGTTTTTTGCTATACCCAGAAACGAGGTACAAATCAGAACCAGCAGAAAAAGAGATCCAAGGTAAGGGTCCATCTCTGTTTGGACTTGCATGTTGTAGTAGGATAAAGAATTTAAAACAACTGTCTATCTGCAATTGAAATGATGGCCTTTCATCACTTGTGTGGTGGTTGGGTTTTTTTATTTGTGAGGTTTTTTTTGGTTTTCCCCTTCCTTACCCCATGATCTTGTTGCATAAAGGCAGAGGGATTCCTCTAGGTAAAATGTGTCAGGCTCCCCTTTATCCATCATATTTTTATGCTGCTGGGCTCACTGCGTGCTTGTGTTAGACAGCATGTGTGTTGGTGTGCACCACTAGGGAAGGAAAAAGCTCGTTCATTTTGCTTTAGTAATTGATGTTATTGTTTGATTTTTATTTTAATGGACTAATTTTGACATAAAGAAGTAGAGACTGGCTAGCTCCCTAAGGGGGAATAAAAAAAAAAGAGCTTCTAGGAATAAAAAAAGCCCAGCAAAACCCAAACCTTCTTTTAATTTTCCAAGTATGGATCCATAAAACTTGCACATATCATTGTCTGTGTTCCTTGGATATAATATTATTAGAAGAAGTGTTTGTGGGGAACCAACCCAAAACAAACAAAACCCCAAAACCAAATGAAAGAAGGAACCTTTGAGTTTAATGTTGTTAAGTTACCTTCAGTATTGCATTATCTGTTCTTTGCTGTTGCGATTTTTAAGTGAGCTTAATGTAGCAGAAATAATTAAAAGCAAAAAGAAACCTACCACCTCCCGTGTGTGGCAAATAGCTCATTGCTTAGAATCTTTTTCCATCCGTATTGAAGGCAGATACAATTTTGCTGGCTGGGTGGGATATCTAGGGAGAGCTGATGTGTGCAGCTTCTGCGCCTTGGGGTCAGCAGTGGTGTTCTCTGTTTTGTTTTCTTTCTCTCTTATTCAGTCAGGAGCTAAAGGAAAACTCGTACGGAGTCTCGCTGTGTGTGAAGAGTCATCCCCTCGCCCGGGAGCAGAAAATCTTCATGATAATCAGGTACACTTGCAACCATTGCTCTTAGCTGCATGGTTGATCTCCATGTTCAGTTGCATGGTTATGTTACTTAATTGGGCATTTAACAATATCTTTCTTGGGGGAAGAATGACATCCAACAATTAACATGTTTTTTGATGAAGTTATCTGGTTTAGCGTGAACTTTTATTTTGAAATATTAGTTTTGTACTATATCACAGGGTGTTGTTTGCTTTTTTTTCCAGACCCCCTGAAAATTTCAGCAAATGGAAAAGAATTCAAAAGAATTCAGATTTTAAAATTAAAAAAAAAAAATTAGTAATAATAAAAAAGAATATTAATGTGTTCTTTTCTCTAAGGCTGTCTCTTCCGAGGCTGCACCAGATACAGTTATGAATATGCTCTGGTTTCTGGTTCCTCTGAGACTCCAGTCCATATCAGTGTCCCCCTTCACATGAAATTCACAGGTCATTCGCTTTCTAGAATACCTTGGTAGAGCCAAGGATGCCTCCTACTGAGTGGCATTCATTTTCTGAACTCTTGGTGTAGATTTTTCCAGTATTGAAAAGCGTGTATTTGAGTTTCTCTGTACTGGCAGTGTTGTATTCTCAGCATCTGGTAGAATTCTGTCCTCTGCCTCCCTCACCTTGGACAGTAACACTTGTGGCAGTCTCTGTAGACGAACTTCAATAAATACCCCAAAAAGCAAAAGTGAAAACCTCAAATACTCTGCTTGCCTGGGAAGAGCAAGGCTTAAAAAAACCCTCAAAACCAAAATACCATGAGCACTGCCTATAATTTATGAGATGTTTTATGTGCAAATGAGATCAGCCATGGAGAGAGCTTGAGCAAGTGACTTGGGAGTTTACCACAAAAACAAAAAAAACCATATTCAAGTGTACTTTCTTACTGTTTTCTCTATTGACTTGAAATGAAACAATCTGTCTCTCCTCTTAGCTCATAAGTATGGAGAGGTTGGGTTTTTTTTTTATTTTTTATTTTTTAAAGACCAAAATCCAGGTTGTTTAGCAGGGAGACGTCTACATGCTCTACTGCTCTACAATGATACTTACGCAGTAGATGGGCAGGTTACTTTATCAGTTGTTCTGTTGTAGGTATACGCTTTCCGCTTAACTTGCGTTACTCAAGATGCGTGGCTTTTGTTCTACTTTTATTTGTATTTTCTGTTGCTTAATGGAGAATGAAAAGGAGAATAATACAAAGAGATTGTATTAAGCATCACATGGTAGTTTATAATGTACTGCACAGGACCTGTGTTAAATGTCAGAGACACTGGCAGGTTTTGAGGCAAATTCCCTATCCGGATTGCACCCGACGCCAGGTGAAGGAGGGGTTCCTCTTACACACAGCCTTTGGTCTTACCTGACTTTGACCAGCCATGGCAAAGATTTCTTTGATGGTATCAAAACATTTATGGGAGATAAAATGCCTCTTTGAATCCCAGTGTCCATTTCCTAAAGGCACAATTGGCATTGTGTAGTTAATTAGATAGGAATTGCACTTTTGCTGTTGCAGACCTTTCGGTACTGAACGCAGCTCAGCTTTGCCATGGAGAGGTGGACCTGCAGGCTCCTCCTTGGACTGGCTGAAGGATACAGAAAGTTTTGTGCCAACCAAATTGCTTTGCTTTCACTTTAGAGGAGAAAAAAAGCTTATTTTCAGTTTGGAATTATTATATTTTTAATTATTTTTTTATCTTAATGGTTTACAAAGCACAGGAAATTAATTACCAGAGAATGTACGGTACATTTGCAGAACTACTGAGTATGGATTGTACTGCAGACTTGATGTTTGTATTTATATTTGAATACTTGCCTTCACTTTCCTGTAAAGGGGAAAAAAAAAAACTTGTTTACCTGTATTACTTGATCTTGAACGCTTACCTGATGGTTTACTATGTCCTTACTTAAAAGGAATGTTGCCTTTAATGTTATACTATTGACCAAGAAGTGTACTATTGCAATTTGAGCATTTATTTTGTTGTTCACTATACTTCTCTTGTATCAATGTATTTATTAACATTGTATTTTATTATTGAGAAAAATAAATAAAAATCTAAGAAAATATACAGTAGCTTGCTTTCACGACTCTACAGCCCTTTTTGTGTGTTTCTTCTAGTGCAAATATACCAGTATTACGTTATATGTAAGATGGTATCTACTGTATGTTCATATGTGTGCTTATGTGTAGAGTCTGGCGTTTTTCTTTTCATAAGTGCATTTTAACAACCACTGTGAAGGTTAGGATTCATGTCCTGGGAACAGCATGGCCAGTTACATTTTTCTCCTGTTCTGAAAAGCTGGTGGTACAGTTGCTCTGCTCTGGGAAGTGCAGGAATCACACTTATCCTTTGGGGTCTTTTGGCAGTGTTTGATCCAAAGTTTGTTGTTTGAATGATAAATTGAACTGCCATTTGGAGTGAAAGCAAACAGGCATAACATTAGTCCTCTGAGTGCAACTGAGCAGGTTAGCAAACATTTTTCTACAAGTGC